TCTCCTAGGAATGTTATTTGTATATATTCAGAACTGTTTTTTGATTTTGTAAGGTAATAGACATTTTGTAATGTTCAAAACTATTATGGTTAATTCAACATTGGATGTAAATATGAAATGATGTACGTAGGCAGATTGCTGTAAAAAAGGGGAACTTGGCTTGATCAAACCTGGATAAATGGTGGTTTGATCGAGCCTTATCGAGCTCGATAACGAGCTCGCGAGCCCTTATCAAGCTCGAGCTCGACAAGGCTCGTGAGCTCGATATCGAGCTGACTCGAGCTCGAGTCTCAATTTTGAGGCTCGCCAGGCTCGAGCTCGACACTGTTGTAAACGAGCCGAGCTCGATAAGCCAAAAGCTCGACTCGGCTCGGCTCGTTTACACCCCTAGGTGTTTTATGATTATGAATTAATTTTGCTTTTGTTGAAGATATTAATAACGGTTGAATATAGGAGATGAACATGTGTTCGGGATGTTCGTTTTGAAACAATATTTTAAAAATGTTTATGTTCTGCTGTAAATTGGAATCATGACAGTATTATTCTATTTTATTTACAAATTTATCATTGTAATAATATATAAATAACTTTTCATTCAATTTAAGAGTTTTTTAACGTCTCATTTATATTTTGTGTCAATCACAGAAAAACACTGAAAGCAATTTAAACACAATAGACGTATGATTTGTACATAATATTTGAACTATTTTATAAATCTTTTGTTGTTTGTGTTTTTCAATCATTCATTGATCCTGCATCAAAATTTATACAATCTCTTACATAGATTTATTAGAGATCCAACGTACTTTTCGTTTGTACAAATTACAGCATTAACAATTTATATTTAAAAATTTATAAGAATGTAACTTAAAATTACAATTGGAACAAAATTATAGTCAAAATGGATACATAAAGAATTAGAATAAAATATTAACCGAGAAACAAACAAGTGTTTTATCTTTTCTAGGACCAGAAAATGAAAATAGAGAATCTGGTACATAAACGATCGTATGTAGTAATCAAGGCTCGAGGAAGCTGCTCTATAATTTTTGAAATTTTTTTCTTCTAAGATGGAACATTAAATTTTTAATATTCTATAATATAATATATATTAATGAATTCACCGACGTACAAGAAAAATATAGTCTATGATGTGTAAAATTCCATTTTTTTTTTTAATTAAAGTATATCTTAAACATTTCATATTTTAAATACCAAAAATATCTCACAATATGCAAAAATATAAGATAAAGTATGAAATGCATAAAAGCTCTCAGCTCACAACGAGCTTTCCTAATTTTAAATTCATTACTTGTATCTTGTATAAATTCTAAAGTTTAAATTAAATTTTATTAAAAAAAAAAAAATGGGAGAAAGTTGTAATAGGAAGAGAAAACTTTTGTATTTAATTAAGGGAGAACGACATTTTCCCACTAAAGGTTTGGTGAAACAATCCTTCCCACCCTTCAAGTTTCAAAATGACACTTTCCCACCCTTTGATAGGTTCTATTATGTTTTTTGTTAATATTTTATTGAAAAAACAAAAATACCCTTAAATATTTGACTTTATAAATTTTTTATTATTTTTAAATAACCTTAATATTTATTTATTTATAATATCATCAATATCTCATCACTATTATTCAATAATTTATTAAATTTATAATTTTTTCACTTATACTAATTAACATATAAAATCAATATTCTTAATTAATTAAATAAGCAAAGAAAAAAAAAAGTTATCTTTACACTTAAATTAATAAAAAATTAAGTAAAGACTTTGACTTAACTAAATTTTAATTTATAATAAACTAATTAAAAAATAAATTATTTAAAAATATTTTCATCTTTTCAATCAAATATTAACAGAATTTAATAAATGGTAAAAAAGTGTCATTTTAAAACTTTACAGGTGGGAAAGTGTCATTTTGCCAAACCTGGGTGGGAAAAGATCGTTCTTCCTTTGATTAAACAAACAAATACGGAGAGGACGACCACATGTTTCACGTTGAGCGTAGATTAATAAAATCTCTCTGATGGGGTTGGGGAAAGCCACCATATAAAATATTGAAATTAATTAATTTAATTACTCGATCATGTCTGTCCACTACCTCGAGTCGAGTTAGAGCTGTAATCTGTATAAATATAATAAAACTAACATATGATAGGGTGATTGTTAAATAATCTACAATCATATAATTTAATAACATGAACTAGTCATAGTTATTTTAGCAAGTGTTACTGTATTAAAGGTGAATATAACAATATTAAGTCAAGCTTGACGGGTAAATTTAATATTTAATTAGGTACTATAATGTAAAGTGGACTTAAAAAAAATTACATTTAATTCGGTACCATAATCTATTATAATACAAACTTTTAATACAATTTTATGACACAAATTTATAATCATTAATTCATGATAATCTGATAACTTAAAAATTGCTTAGTTTACATTAAAAATTAACCAACTTTTAACTTTTTATCAAAATTTGTTAGATAAATAATCATTTGGTGGTCGAGTAATCAACAATAACTCTTAAATGTATTACGAGAAAGATTTTAAATTTGATATATTTCGATTGACTGATTACTCGAATTCTTACTTGATCGATAATTTAAGGAATTTAGAAAATTAGTTTGTGTTATAATAACCTCACTAAATAATAATAAATGGTTTTGATTAGAACGGTGTTTGATATAATACCGGACGAGAGAGGGGGTCCAAATCAAATGGCCGTGTATTTACACTATATATTATATACTACGTGGCAATAAGTACTAAAAATCAATCATCCCCGATGTGAACACTCGAATTTTTATGTCACAGTCGAAGCCATAAAAAGCCAAGTAGGTTCTTCCGTCAGTGGTCGGAAAAGCCAAGTTGGTCCCTCCTTAAGTGGTCGGAAAAATCTTAAATAAGACAGAAATAATATAGAATATGAAGTGATAGTGCCTTTTTATCCCGTGATACTGTCTTATATATAAATAATGCCCTTTGATATTTATAGGCTATAATATTTAACACATTTTTTTTAAAAATAATATAGGGTAAGTTTGGTTTAGTATTTCTCCCCATATTCCAAATCTTATTCCCCAAATATTATTTGACACATTATTCCAGAAATATTAGTGAATTTTTTTAAGTACTTTTAGACTTCTTAAGTTTATTAATTTTACTAAATACCCCCCATAAAAAAGTTTAAAAATTAGCAAAAATACCCTCACTCAGTACTCACCCATATTTATCAGATTCCGGCAACCATCGTTAGTGGTAGCCAGAATCTGTCACAACGGCTTAAACCAAGCTCGAAACTGATCAGTTATTCATCAATCTGGTCGTCAGCGACGACCAAAGAAATGACCGTCGTTGATGGTCAACAACGGCCGCCATCGTTGACCGAAAATGACAGTCAAATATGGACCTTTACGGCCGTCGACAGCCACATTTGGGCGTAGATCTGGTCCTTTTGGGTTCAATCCGTGGTGGATCTAACCGGAAAAGGTCATAGCGACGCGTTACGACATATATCCGACCGATCTGTGTTGTAACGAAATTTTTCGGCCAGATTTCGACGGTGGTGGCTGGAATCTGGCATTGTAGGTGGTGGAGGTATTTTTGTCATTTTACATATTGGGGTGCTTAATTAAATTAGCAAACCTTTGGGTTTTTTTATAAATTTTTAAATTTTACCTCGTAATACTCCCTTATCCAACTACCCAAAATTATTCCCAAAATCCAATCCAAAATAATGAACCAAACGCACCCTTAAGTATTCGGATCAACTTACGATATATCTTGACTAATCTTTAGAGAAAATTATCTCACAATAAACCACCGCTGCAGCTCCCCAAATAAATCATGGGCAAAACTATCCTGCAACAAACCACAATTTCTTTTTCATATGTACGTAATTCTAATTATCAACTATAAATAATAATAATAATATATGTATAAAGTTGGGATCATGCTTTCAAACATAATATATGTGATTGTTGATGTGTTAACATAATTTATTTTTTTAATCACTGGGGCTATTCGGGTCAACTTACGTTCACTTTAACTAATCCCTTAGAGCCCTAGAACCGTTGGTCAGGTAAGAGCCTCAGTGACAAATCCTATTAGTATTTAAAGAGACTCAAACTTAGAAGCTCATAAAATTTTCTTTTACTCTTTTACTATCAGGTCATCTAGCGATGGTTATGTCAACACCATATTAATTGTAAAAAACGTATCACTACACTAGTCTAAATACTCCAACATCAATTTAAATGTTTAACTTACAATATTGATATAATTTTGTATACATCCATCCATAACCATAAATTCTTATAAGAAGAGAGTTAAAAGGTAACTAGTCATTAACCATCTATGGATAGCCCAGATGGTTAGAATAAATTGAGAATAGTATAGATAGACGTATAGTCTTAGGTTCGATTCTCCATTATCACATTTGCGATTAAGTGGGTGGTTGTGGCAGGACGAGTTATTACTTTAGTCTCTCTTAAGAATTAGTCGATGTACAAGTAAACTGGTCCAGACATCTTTCTTTAAAAAAAAAAAAAAAAAAAAAAGAACTAATCCTTTTTTTATTATTAATAATTATTAAAACTCAGAATTCATTATATTATAATGGATGGCCGACTCTGAAGGGTTTCTTTAAAGTACAACGCCGTAACGATACTTCAAGGATAAAACTTAAAAACTCATAATGTGGGGTTTCCCTTTTTTTTTTTTAAATTTTTAAAATATGATTATTGGATAGAAGTGTGAATGGTTTAACATGTATATCTTATAATATGGTAGAGTGTGGGCCAGATTTGATAAAGTATGAAAGCCTCGTCAACCGCCATGGTCCTGTACGGCTGTGCTCCATTGGCCATTACCGACTAAAAATGGAGTGACACCATTATGATTTGTTGCCATTTGCCATGTAGATTCCAATTATATAAACTCTCAATCTTTCTACTTCCTTTCAGCTCTTCATTCCATCGCATCAACTCCACCTCGAAGAAGAAGAAGAAGAAGAAGATGCCTTGTCTTTATATCTCTACTAACGTCAACCTCGATGGCCTTGACACTGACCCCGTCTTCTCTGCCGCCACAAAAGCCGTTGCAGAGATCATCGGACGACCGGAAAATGTAAATCTTCTCAACCTTTATGTTTCGTACTAGTTTATTTAATCCTTTCGTTATCCGAAAGTTGCTGTTAATAGCATGTTTAATTTCAGATCTTCTGCTCAAAGTCTGTGTTGGGTAGAATAATTAGGCTTCTCACTTACTAATTATGAAAGATAAACTGAAGAAGTAGTTCTATTCTATCCAATTATTATGCAAGTTGTGTATCTTTGCAGAAATAGAGAGAGAGGATATTCAGCCATTTTTGTTCAATCAATAAACAGACAAGGTCAATACTATTCATCACTTTCTGATATTATTAGACTTGGCAAATCTGTGGGTTGGTTTGTTTCTTTTCTGAAACCAAGCTTGGAATTTATGTGTGATTGATTCGAACGTGATCCAAAAACTTATCTAAAGGTCTCTTCCTTAGTTTCATCTACTTCCCATTTCTCAAGTCTCAGTCGTACTAGCAAACAAGAAACTTTATTCTATCTTGTTTTGCGCCATACAATTTGGAATAGTATGCAGTAGTATAGTACATTAATTCAATATCTAATTCTTCACGTCTGCTATCAATTTGCTTTAAACAGAAATTCACCCCAAGGACATGTTCTTTTCACATAAAAACACATAAATGCTCTTACAACGTGAAAAATAAAACTGCCATTTTTGTGGTTTAGACCTTCTACAAAGCGCATCTGTACATTGCCAGGCCAAAGATCTGTCGCTGTAAACACCGAAAACATGTCGGGTCAGCGCATTATTTCACATCTGTTTCCGCCACCCACTGTTCTTCCCACCTAGAAATCCACTACTAAACAGTCTGATATTGATTATTCTTCGTTGTTATGGTATGCAGCTGGTAATGGTGATACTGAAGGGATCAGTAGCCATATCGTTTAATGGGAATAAAGAACCCGCGGCTTACGCGGAGATAGTTTCGATGGGTGGCATTAACAAAGTAGTGAAGAGGAAGCTCATTTCAACTCTTGGTTCAATCTTACAAGCCAAACTGTCGATTCCCACCACAAGATTTTTCCTCAAAGTTTATGATACGACAGCGGGGCAAACCAGGTCCAAATTATGATTTCTCAAGAGGGGGCCAAAATGGTTAATATCTATGGTACGGAATTTTCCTTTTTTTTTTGGTTTTCAGAACTGAACTGGGGCAGGCAATCTATTACTATGACTCAGAATAAAGACTGTTTAATTAGATGTTGATTATTGAGCATTTACTTTATTGATAAGAAATCAATTAATTAAAAGGTTACTTAAGATGTGATACAATGGGCCTTGAATGGAATTTATTTTGTCGTGGAGTTAGTGGTTGACTTGACCTGGAGTAGAAATACAATGGTGACGGGCCAACTCATTTTTTCACTATAATCATGGATTTTGTGTATCACAAATAATAATAATGAATAAGAGGTCCCCGCGCGCTGAATATATATATATATATATAAACAAAGCATTTAATAACACAATTACCTAAATAACATGAGTGATTTTTTTTTTTTTTTTAATAATTCATGATCATGGCTTCATCTATCCAGATTTTATCAAGATCTCAATCCAAACAATCATTATTTTAAAACCTAGACTGGATTGGTTGGTTTGACCGAAAACTAGACTCTTATTTGATTTGGGTATATCTTAAACCTGATTATAACAGTTGGACCGAATTAACCCAGGGTTGAATCGATAGAACAATGTTGAATCGCCGATTCAACCGTCAGATTAGAGAACCATGTTGACGTCACTGGTTCGATTTATTTTATTTATGTTATATTGTTATTTTTATTTATGGATTTTCAATTTATTTTGATTATGTTATTTGGAATTTCGGATTTATTTTGGAAATTTATTAGAATTTTAAAATCTTATAATGTTATGCTGACATTATTGGTCCAACCAACCAGTCCAACTAGTCAAACCGGTTGATCTGAGAACCGGCCCCTTGACTTTTTTCAAGGCCTTGTCTAAGTCTTACAACATTGCAAACATAAGATAAAAGAGATATATAGATTATAGCCAAACATACTCTAACAAAATGAATTGCTATGAATTATATTAAACGCTCAAAGGCTATGCTATTGTAATACAAATTTTTAACACAAATTTATGCAACTAATTCATAACCATTGATTTATAGTAATCCAACGACTTCTAAATTATTTACTTAGTATTACAAATAATAAACTCTGACTTTTCATCCAAAATCGTTCGATTGTTATAAATAATAATCATGAATTTATGTCACAAATTTGTATAAAAATACGTGTTACAATAAAAACTTAAAAACTCTTACCCATTTTAAGGCATTGAAATAAGATCTCTCAAGTCTCAACTTCCTTCCCACATAAAAAATAAAATAAAATAAAATAAAAAAATAAAAAAAAAGTTGTCTCCAATCTCCTTATCCCCTGTTAGTAATAGAAATTTTTACCAAGAAAAACAAAATTTTATAATTGCCCTTCAGTATACATCATTTTACAATAGTATCCCTTGACTATTGAATAGGTATGAGCTTATAAGCTCTAAAATTAAGTTGACTTATTTATTTATAATTTTTTAAAACTTAAGTTTATAAGCAAAAAAAAAAAAAAAAAATATGTTGAGGGAAAGGTCCCTTTTTTTTTTTTTTTTTTTTTTTGCATAAGCACTTTGCTTATAAATTACTTTGATTAAGTATATTACCACATTACCCATTTTTAATTTTAAAATTCCATCATATACCATTATTTTTAATAATATAGTACATTTTTAGTTATTTTAATAATAAAATATATTTATAAGTTATATTTTACTAAAGGCGTCAATTTTTATCAGTTACTTGTAAATACTTTAACTAAACAAATAATTGTTTAAATTTTAAATACTTATAAACTCAAATTAGCTTATAAACACTAACGGTTTATAAGTTAATTTTCATAAGCTCAGTCAAACATACTTCAAAACAATCTCACTATCTTTTATTGGTTCATAGATGCACCCGACCCAAGTCCAACAATCCACCAATATGGTAATCAGCAATAAAGACAACGAGTCTAAGAAGAAATTGACTGCTATTGTTGAAAATTTGAGAGCAAAGCACAAACCGCTCATGCTAATTCGGTTGGAGATGTATTCCACTATTGGGCCATTAGATGGTAGAGCCTATTAGTTGTGATTTTATTTATTTAGCCCTGACATTGTTTTTGACCATGAACACCTTAAAACTTGAAACCATTAAATTCTTAATAGCATGGAGGTTGTGGTGGTTGGGCCCGTTGGACTAGTAGTCTAGTGTCACGAATCCCATATATTAGAAACGCAGCGGAGAGGTTTGACTTATAAGGGAAAGTCTCTCAACCTATCATGTTAGTCTTTTTAGTGTTAAACTCTGATAGTAATATCAAAACAGACTCGATCTATCTTTCAGTGTTTCACCAAGCGCCCACGTAAAGGGGTGTTCATGTGTCGTTAGTAATAATAGGTCCACTTGAAAGTAAGATGGATGGATAGACAGGAGGCTTCACCTATGAGCTTGTGACGAGGGCGTTACAAGATTGGGGATCGAGAACGTATTGATAAAAGGAGAATCTCTAAACTCCCAACCCATGACACTAGGCTGTGGAATAACTCTTTTGACTATTTGAGCAGGCGAATTTAAGGGGTGTTTTTCTAAGCTTAAAAACTGGTTAAATTAGTTTATAAGCTCTAAAATTAAACTGACTTGTTTGTTTATAACTTTTTTGAGCTTATAAACCAAAAAAAAAAAAAGTTGGAGCCAAAAAAAATAAGTTGAGGAGAGGTACTTTTTTTTTTTTTTTTTTTGCTTATAAACACTCTATTTATAACCTAGTTTGACTAAGTATATTATCACATTATCCTTGTTTAATTTTAAAATCTATAATATACCCTTATTTAATGTAGTATCATTTTTAGTCATTTTATAATAAAATGTACTTATAAGTCATATTTTACCAAACATGTCAATTATTTATCCATCATTTATAAATATTTTAACTAAACACGTAATTGCTTAAAATAAATTAGTTTATAAGCATTTTCTTAAGCTGCTCAAACACAGCCTTAAATTAAAAAATCTAATAGAAGGGGCAAATTGGGAAAATTAAATGTTTTTCTCTCCTTTAAAAAAATATTTTCTCTCTCTAAATCTTATATAAATCAGTGGGTAGAGTGAAAAGATTTGGTAAGATTTAGGGTTTTTATTTTTCCAGTAGTTTCAGCGAGAGAAAAAAAACGAAGATGCCTTGCTTGAACCTTTCAACTAACGTTAACCTTGATGGCGTCGACACGTCGTCCATCCTCTCCGAGGCCACTTCCTCCGTCGCCAGCATTATCGGCAAACCTGAGGCCGTAAGTCCTCTGTCCACTTGCCTCTCTGTTGTTCTACCTTTGCTTTTCTTTATTTCAGATTTTAGCTTAATTATCGTATGCAACAATTTTTGAAGTTACTTGGAACTTCTTTTTGTTTCAGATTTTAGCTTAATTATGTTTCGCTACAAGTTTCGAAGTTTCATAGAACTTTTTTTTGCTATCTAAGTAAGCTTCGCCGAAGCCATGTACATGATTGATGATTTGTCGGCGCTTTTCAAAATTTTAGAAATATTTACAAGATCATGTGATTGTTGTAATGTACCGCCACATAGATTTTTTGGGCATTTGTATTACTTGTGTCATTTTAACATTTTTGTGTAGGCTGATGCGGGAATTGAATTTAACTATTCTGTTCATCCAGGGGTTATTCAAATAGTTAGCTCAGGCCTATTATTTGTTCCTAAGAAATTCTTAAGTTCCGGTTTCAAACTCAAGTTCTCTAAGTGGGTCTGGGGATTTTCTTGGCATTTGAAAAAGGACAATTGACGATTTGCCTCTTGTATAGTGTAGTAGGAGATAGTGGAGTTATAACTATTTCATTTGTTGTTAGTATCTGATTTTCTAGAACGCCATATTAGACCTGTTTTTGTGTGAAGGCAGCATGGTTTGAACGACTTATGTAACTTGTAATAATTGTGTGAGCTAGCTATTGCAATATTGTCCTAAGTTTTGTAGTCATGTTTAGTCGCTTTATATGGGATAATTTTATATTTGATAATAATTTGGACTTTCCTAGTCTTCCTATTTCAACTAGTTGATTTGAATGCAATATGATGGTTCTTTTGTTGATAATCATTAAGCAGCTAAGAAGCAATTATCTCTATATATTTTTTCCTCTACAATACCTTTTGTTTTACTTATCTTCCTCTTAACTACCCTGTTGGTATGCAGTATGTGATGGTTGTGTTGAAGGGATCAGTACCTATAGCATTTGGAGGAACTGAGCAGCCAGCTGCCTATGGTGAATTGGTGTCCATTGGCGGTCTTTCCCCTGATGTGAACAAGAAACTAAGTGCTGCAATTGCCGATATCCTTGAGAAGAAGTTGTCAGTGCCCAAGAGTCGATATTTCCTCAAATTCTATGATACTAAGGCAAGCCATTTCAACTTTCTTGATTGTACAGACGATGACTGCCCACGCACTTGTCTCATCTCATTGCATTCTTCCTGTTTGTTTAGGCCCATCAAAGCCAAGAATATGCACAGTGTTTGCATGCTTTACACCAGCACTAGATCATGTAAATAAATCCTAAACTGTTTAAAACCGTGAGAATAGTTTTTATCATCTTTCTTGAGAATACAACTTATGACTCTCTATTGGTTATTCTCTTATCACTGCCTTGTGATTTGCTGTCTGTTTAAGTGTTTTTGATCCTTGGTTTATTTTGCAGGGCTCCAACTTTGGATGGAATGGGTCCACCTTCTAAATTTAGCTCTCAGAAGATTGGTCCTGTGCATTCTGACAGCTATCTATCTATCTAGTGAATCGGTATCTTTAGAACTATGTTAATAATGCGCTGAATACTGTCATTCTTCCTATAATGTGCTCGCTTATGGACACTGTTTTTTGGGCTCAATGCTAGTGAATGATATTCCCTGTTTGTTTAACTTTTTAAAACTCTATTCTATTATCTTATTTAAAGTAAATAGTGAAAAACATGTTTGTTTTAATATTGACGAAATTCAATTCAAAATCCAATCATATTTTATTCAATTCAAAACATTTAACAATTATTTTTTACAATAAAAGTTTATAAATTAACAAAAACAACTTCATCCACTGAAGCCACTGTTTGTCACCAGCAACCACCATCGATTGTCAGTTGTCGTCACTAGCAACCACCATTAGTCACTAGTCGTTGGAACGATGCACGATCGACTAAATTCA